GCAAGTAGTTTGCTTAGTATTTACTGTCAGTGGCATCACATGGTAATGGAATATCTGCACTGAAAATAACGCACAGTATACTTGAAAGACAGGAGTGTTGATCGCAACCTTCACCAATTGGAATGAAACGGCAACTAACAGAGCACAAATAGCCGTTAAAACGCCCGTTTTTAACAATTTCGAGTCGAAAATTTTAACGAAGCATTTCAAAGACGATTGATTTAATTGTATCAAATTGAATCGCAAACTGTCTGAATGTCGAGCAAATTTAATTTAAGTAGATCTACCAAATTAAAGTTTTACTTAACGTAACGGTGAATTTGGGAAAGCGGTAGTTTCGTGCTGTTTCCCTTGAAGAAAATAAACTTCTCTTCGATGACTTTTCCCAACATTTTAATAACCGTTTGGCCGGTTGCTTAGCAAAACGTTCGCTGTTTTAAGTGTTGCTAAACTGCTAAGTTTGTTTTCAAGTGACATATATTAGTGAAAGAGAAAAAAACCTTTGCATATAATAACAACCAATGGAATGAAGCGGAAATGCGGAAATTCTCTTGTGCTTGTGCTTTCTCTCTCGCTCTCGCTCTCTCTATCACTTGACCACTCTTCTTTCCCTCGCCATCTATCATTATTCATTTATGTCTTTCTCGCTCATGAAAGAAAATACCAAAATTTCTTTTCTGAATCTTTAATAACAATTTTTAGTTATGATATCAAGTATCTTAGATAATTCTCATCCTGTTTTGCTTTGTAGCCAAAGAGAGTGGAACATATATATTATTGACATACATAACATAGCATTGATTTGTTCCCATTATTTGAGCGCCAGAACGAATCTTTTTAAGCATTTTGGGGAATGAACCGTTTCCCTTTCAGTACCTGTAAGAATTGGAATATTTCCTTTCCAAATCAGATCGTATAAAACAAGCAATCACCAGTGCACTGATTAGGTATGCATCGTTCAGTTGTCTACCTCTCATTTGGAAGGCGTGCGTTGAGAATTACTTAGCTGAGGGCATGGCTTCGGCCATTCAAAATTTTGCTTTCCCAGCATGCACATATATTCACATATATACCGTAATACACTGTACATGCCCTTTTCTTTCTAAAACAACAACAAAATAGTTAAAACTCGAATTTATTATTATTACACATATTTTTCATACACATATAATTTCCAAAGCTATATTATTTAAGTCGCTATAAAGAAAAGCACAATTTGCAATTGCAATATAATAATAAGCCGATTCACCTTTTTTCTTACACGTTTATTTTTTTGATTACCTTTATGCACTAAAATATGCAACATTGGCATTTTCCAATGATTTTATGTTTTTGTTATTGTAGACATTAATTCAACCATCGCACTCAAAGAATAGTGCATTCATTTTTTAAAGAATATTCCTGCTGGGATATCTGCAATTGACGTTACGGTTTCCTAGCCCTTGCATGCTTGCTTTTGACGAGGCAGGCATTAGTAGAATAATAAAAGCAATAAATTTCAATGCATTAAATTCGTTACAATACATATAATACAAATATTATCCGTCAAGTAATTACCTGAATTTGCAATTTGTTGTGAGTAACAAAACGTAGGCAATTTTGATTATAAGTAGATAATGTTTTCGAGCTTTTCATCAGTTAGCGCACCATAAGAAAAATGCAAGGCGAAAAGAAAATCGTTTGCCAACGAATTGTCCCTACAAAAACCCGAAGAGGACTAAGCGAGCAAGTGCCAGCGACTATGCAGGAAGAGGCAATTTCGTGGCGACGGCGACGGCGACTTGTATGAATTTGGCGCACCAACTAAATCTTTTTCATTTATTATTTCCGTCGTGAACATAAATTGTGTGCCTTTATTTTTATTTTAGATATTCACACATTAATATTTGTAAACAATGTATATTGTCTTAAAATGAAATTCTTTTTTTCTAATCAACTTCTGAAAGTCAAAATACAACCCGTATTTTTAATTTCCACAAAAGTGAATTTATTTCTTATAGCTTTTATTTCATTACAATTCAATTTGAAAGTGCAAAAGAATATGGAAAGCACAACTTACTTACAACCTTGAATACGAAAGTTCCTACAGAAGCATGCCTTGGTGTTGGCATTAATGCCGCGCCGAACACATTCCGCGCAAAATTTTTCTTCCATTTCTAATATCATTTCTGATACGGAAAACGTCGGCAAAACAGAAAAGGTGCCCCGTACAGCGGTTAAATAAAAAATCGCTACTGGCCAGACATTGATAGCCTTCAGGCTTCGACAACTTCAAACGCATCATAGCGCGTATGTAAATTCTCCTTAAGCCATCATTCTTACCAATTTTCCCTAAATTGTGTTCAAAAGACGCTTCTGCATGAAACAATATGTATATTTTGATTTATGTAGTTGACAAATCTATAAAATCATTTACTCACACATTGTCGAGTAAGGTAAGACCATTTGAAGTGTTCCGCAACTCCCTTCTACATCCTATCCCTCTCGCACCAATTTTGATGTTCCTCTACTGTCAGATAGCATAACATGACCAAAGGCACCATTCCCCTTGGTGTGTATACATTTCTCAACATTGCTTGATTACTTAATTATCACGCAAAGCGTGGGCAATTTTGCTTACGTCTGATTTGACAGTTTTGAGAGAGCGTTTCTCGCACGACTTACGCAAACGTCTGGCAAAAAAGGCCGAACTCGAAATTGAAACCTAGTTAACGCCATACATAATCAATGCCCAGCCTTTCATTCGAAGAATTTAAGTGCTCAAAAGCTCATATCATTCGCTGCTTGCTTCATATATACACGGCTATTTTGCAAACATAAACATGCACTATGTAACTTAGGCATTGAAACAATATTTCATATACCGAAGAGTGCAGTTCGATACGTATTGAATCCGAAATGGTATCCAAGCTGCCTACTCTGTAAATCGATGAATGCGCTAATTTGTAAAATAAGAAACGCGTCTAGTAGTGGACCATACTTTGATTAAGATTGGGTGTATCCGAGCTTGATCGGTAAAGGCATAATCGAGGCTACGTCCACGCCCTATCTGTCTCTACCCATTTATTTTGATCCGTCAGCGTATCCAAAATCATGGGCTCTCTTCAGCAGTTTATCGTTAACCCCAAGAGCGCAATTTTTAAAATTTTTGAAATATTTTTAAAGGAAACTAAGCTCGCATTAGCCTTCTTCGATACTTGGTCACTTTCAGTAACAATTCAAACTTGAGATGTAACGAATATTGAATATACTTTGTATGATATATAATATAAATCAGAAGACGTAATACTAATAAAATGTTTCTAACGATGCAAACACAGTTCAACTCTTATGTGGACAGTGTATTATACATATGAAAAATATGTTCAGAATGGTAATAACGCATGAACAATTTTACAGTTTTTCGATTCGTATTTGAATTACATATCGTTCACTTATTTGTGTGTTAGGTTAACTTTTTAGAGTTAATGTTGGTTGTTTAGAGTTGCATTTTTAAGAGAAACACGTGTAAACGGAAACAAAACTAATTCCAAGCAAAATTGTTTGCGTACAAAGCACCTGACCCAAAACAAAAATTATAAATTTGTGCAAGGTAAAGTAATTAATTAATTTGATTTCGTTTGTCTTTAATTTTAGAAACTGTCTGCGACGTGATATAAGAAATTAAAACGTTTAGGAGTAAAGACTCTCTTTTATAACTTAAAAATTAATAATTTATTATTAATATTGTATTTAACAATACGATTGAAGCAGAAAGGTAAAACAGCCTTGTGAACTAAAAGAGAAAAAATAAAGGAACGAAAAAAAGTATTCACCATAATTGCAGATCATTGATGTGAGAGTGGTATGACTTTCGACATTTTGCTCTAAAATTACCACTTGAGCTTAAAGTGTTGCTATAAACAAGTTTAAAACTAGAAATTGAGCGAGAATTAAGTGTAGATAAATAACATGATAGATTTTAAGAGCTTTTGTAATTTTTTAACATGGCAGTGAACGTTAGAAGAACAAACCGGACCAGCATAAAACACGAAGGAATGAAACATAGGTTTGGTAATCAATTTCTTGCTTTTTATGTTTAAACTTGCATTTCTAATAATCAATGGATACAGAACTTTGGTAGTAATTTTATGAATGTAGTTAACGTGGCAGTTAAATTAAGTTTAAGGTCTCATATTGCACATAATTACTTAAGTTTAGTCTTTCAAGGAGTGTCATTGCCATGAAACTTCGAGGTGTGTTGGAGGTGAAGCAAGGCTTACGCTTATGAGTAAAAAAGAGCACTTGAGTTTTCTGACCATTAACCAGCAAATTTGACCCTCAATAATTACTGCTTGTAGATTGATAATGACATCGGCAGCAAAAATACCAGAAGTAAAAATCGCAGTGTCGTCAGCAAAAATTGAAACCTCACATCCACTTGGAGGTGATATTATACCGCAAACTGATAAGAGAATTTTTCAAGGATTAGGTGTAGTCTTTGGCACGCCCAAATTTAAAGCAGAATGAACCGTTTCGTTTTATATTTGTGAACACCCACTACAGATTTATATATATACATATATATTATATGTTAACTGCAGATCTCTGCAAAAGCTTCGCGTTTCATAAGCGGCTTTTGACGATATTTTACGAAAACTTGGCACGAGTGATGGTTTGAAGAAGCCTACATGCAGCTGGTAATATGTTTAGACATGGCTTTAGAGTGGCTGGGCTTTGGAGGCTACCAATGGCTGATAGAGAACCTACAACTCCTAAATCAATTAAATCTTATTTTTCAGTTTATTACCCTAATTAATACTATTAATAATACAAACATAAGAACATAAAAGGATTTATTGCTCAATCTATTATACATATATATTTTTTTTTTAAAAGAAAAATAAAGAAATCAAATTTATTGACTGCTCATGCAGACGCAACGTAACAATGTACAAATTTGCACAGTCTTTTTCTTTCTTTTCAATGCAATTAATTCATTAAGGTGATCATATTGCAAGGTTCTAAGTTCGGAACGATACATATAATAAAAAAAAAAGATAATAAATTTCTTCCATTTTCACAAATAAATCATTTTAAATATTGCGTTTAATAAAGCCAAGCCAATGTAGGATTTATTCGAGCGTTGCACAGTCTACGTTTTCAGTTTTTATGTCAGAAGATTTTTAAAAAAAATCGAAATAAAACTTTGCAAGTAGATCCGATGTATTGTTAATTCCAAGATAAAGTTGTGGCTTTATTGAAAATTCAGGATTCCAGGTGGTAGGTAATTTTTGTCATGCTTTCGATGTTGTAGCGCTTTGTTATAAAACAAACGAATATGTAGTAATTGGGTGCGCACCTGGAACTCACGTTTACTTTCAAAAGCCCAAGCAAAGCGAAAGTGTTTTCTTTAATAGAAAAAAGAGCGTCGTGTAAACATAGTAATTTAATCTAACTATTTGCGTATGCTATGTACATACATATGAATCTTTTATGCTTACGTCTTGCGGAATCATGCCATGATTCGTACGTGTGAAGTCGTTGAACTGTGAGCCTATCGACAAGGACATTGCATTCAAATCAAATTAATGCTTGACTCATTGATTAAGCAGTGGGATAAATTGAAGAATTACATATCTGCATCATATCAGCGAATTTCAAAGATTTGAATACTGAAACATCCGCAACTTATCTAAACGATGGTGTTGACGTCTCCGAGCTGACGAACAAGGAAGTTTGTCTTTTCTGCAGAAACAATCTGTTGACACCCGCCATTTTTGGCTTTATGTTCCGGTCAAATCTAAAAACAAGTTAAAAATACTGTAAATATAAATAAAATCTTAACGTAATTTTTGTTGACTTACTTATCGCCACCCCGTTGAATGTTTGCCCCGAACACTCATTGAATTCAATTCCATTGTTAGCTCATTCCACAAAGCTTTCGAGGGCAGTGAGAAATCGACATAAACAAACGTAAAGAAATATTAACATATTGATCTTTCCGTTGATTTTAAACGTGCAACACTTTTCTTGTTAAATTGATTACGCTCTTCCGCGTTGAACAAATGTTTTAGCCATAAACGAACGAAATTTTTTATTCGCGTTTATTGAAAATCGTCTTATTTCACATCATTTCGTATCATTTTCTTTGAGATATAGAGTTCATACGCGTAAAACACTTTTCAGTTTATTACCTAAAAATTTTAATTTACGTTTTCTTTTTCTGATTTGTTTAGCAGAAATGGATTTTAGCATTTAACTAATCTTAATATAATTTTGTGTTTATTTATATCTGTATGATATTGTGTTCTTCTTCTTCTTGTTATTCCGCAAATTAACACCCGCAAATTCGCTAGGATGGTACAAAAGACGCAATGTGAACACAGAGTTCTTTGTTCGGGCCTTATTAAAGTTGGGTTTAGATCTGGTATATAGTATTATAATTTATTTATTTTAGTGATTATTTGATTAGTTTTCTTTTGTTCAATTTTGCGTGTTATACGTCTGCCACGTAGGATAGAACAGAAGAGCGAGCAGTAAATTCCGATATGTAATATGTGGTATATGAGTGTACGATATTGTCGTTGTTTACATAATGATGGTTTTTTATAAACAACCGAACTTCAAGCTTGTCGTCTGTTTTCAGTTTATTTTTTTTATATATCTAAGAGGAAATGGGAATTATGCATAATGGCGAAAAAGAGATTAACTTCCTCCTATTGTCAAAGCGAACGGGATTTAATAAAAACTACATAATCAGTATCATGACGTTTACAGACAGAGAAGGGCACTGATATGTATCATTTGGTCAACTAGCTCTCATTCGAAAGGCGCACCTTGAAAGCCATTTGGCTCAGAATTATTTATGACTTTCGTCATTTGAAATTTAATTCGAAAAATTAAGGTGAAGGTAAAAGCCAAATTTGACGTTTGTTTATTTACAATGATATAATCAATAACAAAATGATACAAATGTAAATAAAAACAAACTTACGTACAATTTTTCAGAAGTGAAATAAGCTCACGTTACTGGTGTATAAGCCTCCTAATCTACAGACTTTATGCATATCTCTCTGACAAAGCAAAAAATTTAACAAAAAAAAATTTATAAAATCAAATGAGATTTCACATAAAACATTGGAAGTTGTTACACACACGTTGATATTTGAAAATAAGCCAAATCGGTCGAAGGACACGCCCACAGCGCCACATAAACTGACAATACTTGTTTAAAAAAAAAAAATATATAAAATTGGTTTTTGTTCTTTACTCATAAACTATAGCAGATAAATGTTCAAAAATCAAAATTTAATTTTTTTTTTCGATACCCCTATCAGACGCAGAAACACACTTCGAAAACCCTATAAGGTATATGAATTCTTGGGCAATTTCAAATTGGAATGCACCTAAACATGTCCACCTGTTGGTGTGTCCATCTCTTTGTCTGCGCAACCGTATTTGTATTTGTGGTAAATATTCTTTCGTTAGGGAAAGTAAAGATATTGCTTACAAATTTGCAAAAGAATTTGGAATTGACCTAAACTTTTGAAAGGGGACGTCTACAGCGTCGACATGCTTATACGACTAAAACTTTTATTTTGAAAACAAAAGAAATCAACTGCGCCCACTCCATATTATGATCATGAGAATTTTGTTCTTTTCTTATAAAAGATTAGGTCAAAATCGAATATAATTTTCGTACTTGTTATATTATATAATCCATTTTTACGCTCACATAAGATTTTACTTATAAAGAACGTACAATATTTTTAATTAAACTGCAAATCAACCCTAGTTTTTTATTTTATAAGTAAAAACAAACTTTTCAATTTTCACACAATATCTTAAAGCGGATTTAGTACATGATGGCCTGTAGAAAAATAAGTGATACACAATTGATTACAAGCTTTGGCGAATTAAGAGTATTAGTTAGACAATTCAGGTAAAAAGCAAAAGGAAGGAATTGTTTATCTACCAAAATTTAATTTAATTTTAAAAATTTAAAATTTTTTACCTTTGTTTAGACTGTATATAGAGAGTTTTGTTTGAAAATTATTTTATTTTCAATTTACAGTTGTTTTCTTTTATAAATGCAGCTCTAAGCAATCGATACTAACGCAAAGCGTGATGATTTGGCTTACGCCTGATTTGACAAGTTTGAGAGAGCGTTTCCCGCACCTTTTGTACATACATATAGCAAAAAAGGTCGAAATTAAAAAAAGAAACCTAGTCAACCAAGTGCCGAGATGTATTTGATTATTTGACAGTATTGAATCCCCTGATATTTGACTACTGAAAAAATCTAGAAAATGCTTAAATTTATGTTCATATAAATAATTGTTAAAAAGTGGTGCTTCTCTCTTTTTCAAGCACATAACAGCGAGCAAAACCAAGCTTCACAATACAATGCTACCAACCCTTGCATAAATGATGCCATTTAGAAAATATTCAAATAAATCTCTGACCGTAATTTTACAATACAATGGCAGTTATTGCTGCAAAGAGGATGCCAAGTAAGAAGTGTTCAAAGTAATTTTCTTGAGGAGAACCAAATTTTGCGCTAACAATGCCAGAAACAATTGTATGAATAACTCCAAGCGGAAAGTCTTCAAAGAAATCTCCGAGAGTAAAACTCAACTTTACAATACTATGCAGGCAATCCCTGCAAAAAAGATGCCAAGTAAGGATATTCAAATAAATCTCTAAAAGTAAAACATAATTTTATAATACAATACCAGAAATCTCTGCAAAAATGATGCCATATATGAAATCTATCTCAGAAACTTTGGTCAAAATGATGAGAGTAAATATACTTGCGAGCGTAACTGAGATTAAAATATAAATATGAAACTCTTAACACAAAAACAATAGCTGCCCGCAAAGCGTTGGTCGTTTTAATTTGTTGTTTTCTGGAGAAAGAGAAAAAAGTTTATGGAGAAAGAGTAAACATGTTAACTATACACACATATATATGTGTTTGTGCGCACATAGAAAAATTACCCAATAATAAACTAGCGAGTAGTAGAGTAAACAACGATTACAACCTTTCACAACGAAGCTTATTTGTACATAACGACTCTTTTATAATTTAAATTTATGATTGTAAATATAGATGTTTTTAACCCGAATTTTTACGTATAATTTGCACATAAACAATAATGTTCAAACTGCGTATGTACCCTTTTTATGTAAAACTAATTTCTAATTTTAATACATTTTGTCAATGTTGGAATTTTTCCTCGCCCAACTACAATTATCATTGGATTTTCTGGCAAATATATCTAAATTCATAAAGTATCGTATATTTACTAATTCGTTTCAATTATTGACGGACTTGCAAAAGATTTGTATATGCATGTTTGCAACTGTAAATATGGAAAATACGTATTTATAAAGTAAAGAAAAACATTATGTTGACACCACTTTCTGATATATAACCATCTCGCTCTCTTTTTGAACTTTAGAGGAGAGCGAGAAAAATAAAAATGGCTTCAGTTATATGTGTAGTGAATTTTTAAAGTTAAAATAAATATATTTTTAACAATTTAAAAAAAAATTGCTATAAAAACATTGATATTTTCACACAAAACAAATGCAAATCGATAACGTAATAGTTCTTATAATAAATGCGCAGCAAAAGAAAAATTTAGAAATGCCTTCACACAAAAGGCAGATGATCTAAAAGAAGCAAAACGTTTGAAAAGTGTTCAGAAGGAAATATATGTAACAAATTATGGTAAACAATATGAATAATAACACTGTTTAATCTAAATTAAGTGATTTTCCATAAAAAAGTCGTACACAACACGAAATTTGCGCCAATGAGAAAATTTTCTGCAAATCGCAAGGAAGTGGGAAAAGTAGAACAATGGGATAGAGTACAAAGCGATTAACCGATAATATTTTTATTCGACTGTGTAAAACGTAAAAATTAAATTAAAAAATGAAAATATAATTTTGTGAACATAGACAATGTCGTCGCAAACTAGCCCAAAATATAAATAATAACATAAACATTAGTTTATTTCGTATACGTTTTTAAAGAAAAGTATTTTTCTTCCATTCTCTCATTCTCTTAATCTTCATTGTTCTGTTTAAACGATGACATAAGGAAATCTTGCCTGTTTGACGTTTAAGTGCATTTGTTTTGATTCTGATAATCATTTATAAAAATATTGAAAAATCTCCAAAACTCTAAAGAATATTAAAAAATTACTTATATTATCGTTTTATAGATGGGTTGTTGATTGTTGTTGTATATAGAAAAATATTGAAATAAAACAGTTGCAATATGTCACGTTGGGGCAAAAACATTGTGGTGCCTTTGGATTCGACCAAAGAAAACACAAATCGTCCGACAGTATCGCGGTCTTTAGGTACGGTCGGTAAATGGGGTAAAATGGGATTTACTTCGACGCGAACATATACTATGTCAGCCTTACCGGCTGCTGTAGCAGCTGCTGCGGCGGCCGTGGCCGCCGCCAGCCCCCAAGAAAGTCCGGCCTCGCACAAAGAAGACGATTTGTCCACTTCTGTACCAGAACCTCCAAAGCCAAGGAAATTTTTTAAATCACGCAATACAACACCACCAGAAGTTATAGCCCAAATTATACAGCACCTACCGAGACAGTCAGCATCACCTGCACGAGAAACAACTTCTTCTTACACAACCGCACCATCAATTTTAAGTACTCCAGTTAAAGATCCCACAAAAGTGAAAACATCTAAAAGCATCTCCTCAGAACGGAAGAAAAAGTCTCCTAAGAAGTTCAAATTTAAAAGCGTGGAACTATCTGATGAGGCCAATGAGCACAAAGAAGCGAAAGCTCCCGGTGAGACTAAATTACCGAAAAAGAAAAAAACTGAAAAGGAGCTTAAACCCGAAGCACCACCCTCACGTATATTATCACGAGCTCGTAAAACAGTAAATTATTGTGAGGATGACGAAGAAGATCGTCTACCGACTCCCATTAAGGATATTATACTTCCTAAACAAAAGAAACCGGATAAAGTAGTGAACGTTCAGGAGACACCTCCGCCCACTCCAGCCCATAAATTAGATGATGTATATGCCGCCTGTGATACACCTGAACCGGTCTTGCCTCCACCGGCTGCACCACAAACTCCAACTGTAGTTAACAATATCGCATCTAAAACACCTGAACATCCTCCCATTGTGTTAAGAATTTCAAAGGTAATTTTATATTAACGATGTCAATCGGTCCTTTTTCCAACTCGTTATGTCGCGAAGTGTTCAAAACAAACAAGAAATAGCACAACCCGATTTTACAAGGAACATGTCCGCATTATTAGTTTGTACACCTAGTCGACAATGTTTATTATTTTATATATTCATAAACAAATGCCAAATTTTGAATGGCAATCCTATTAAAACAGCGTTACATAGGCTGGATGTGTAAATAGAACAATATTTGTCATTTAATTTGGATAACACGCGCCTATTTGTTTTTATCGCCAGAGTTTCCTTCGCTCGCTAGATTTTTATTGTATCAGCGCTAAAGGATATATGTAACGTTTAACAACTTTTAGTCTATTTTTTACGTATTTGTTTTTAAATATTTTTATATTTAACTGTACGTCGCCTTTTGCATATTTCAGGGTACATCACGTTTAGTGAGTACTGATAGTGAAGAACCTGTTGCTTCCACAACACCACCTTTACAACACTCAGATGCTCTTCTTTTAGAAACACCATCAGAAAATGCAACAAGATCTCGACAGGCACCTGGCGACGAAGTGATTAGTAATACCATCACACCTAAAATCATTGTAAAACCTCCCAGGCCACCATCACCCTTAACATCGTCTCGGGAAGAAGAACCCCCTGAAATTAATTATTGTACAGTGAAAATTTCGCCCGACAAACCGCCCAAAGAGCGTCTAAAGTTGATTATTAAGACCGATGTCATTCGGAACGCACTCGCAGCAGCTGCAGCAGCGGAAGCAGCGAAATCGGTTGGAGTCACCGAAAAAGCAATTCAAGCAGACACTGCATCTTCTGGTAATGAAGGCTGCCCAGCCACGGATCGGCCTGAAAAGGAGAAATCTAAAAAAAATAAAAAACATAAACATTTGAAACATTTAGTTGTAGAACAGCTACCTAGCACGCAGAAAAGAAACTTAGCTGAATTTAAGACCCCTTCTCCACATTTAGCATTAGGAAGTAGTAGTATACATGATAACCATCCGAATCCGACAGCAGCTTCGGCGCGCACTGTTATTTCACCTCCTGCTTTATCTGAAAGAGATTTCGACTCACAGTCGTCAGTATTGGGTAGCATTTCATCTAAAGGTAATAGCACCCCTCAAGGATTAGCGCCACAGCCAGAGGAGAGTTGTGTTTTGCACAGCAGAGGCTCCAGTGTGATAACCAGTGACCTTGAAACAAGCCAGCATTCATCACTAGTTGCACCTCCATCAGATATTGAGTTGCGATTGGAATCAATGATGATGGACGGTGAGGCAAGTCAGCAACAACGCACTACTAACAATTACGTAGAAGCGGAGCCATTACAAGAAGATATTTTAGCGGTTTTAAGAGGTGACGAAAGTGCAATGGATATCGAGCAAGAGAAAATAAAGGAAAACGGTCAAGATTCCAAATTATCAAATCAAATTCAGGAAGACAACATGATGCATTCTACTGTTGTAGGTCGTAGAATAACCCGCGGTAAAGCCAAGAGTAACTATGCTGAACAAGAAACAGACGATTCTCAAGCGGTCAAAGTGCGAAACAAAAAATCAACTCCAATCACTCAATCGGGAGACGAGATTTCTATCCAGAAACGTTTAACAAGAAGAGGTAAAAAACTAGATGAATCTAATTCTGTATTAATAACAATGGAAACCAGTGAAGAATTGCCTACAAATAGCGATGAAATAAATTCAGATAAATCTTATCAAGAAAGGGATCCAATCCCCGCGTTGGTTGTTAGAAGAGGTAGATCGTCTCGAAATACCAACAATAATAATTTAACCAATAACACTAACAATATCAATAAGATCGCTGCCAGTTTATCAGCTAAGGCGGGAGCGGCCGAATTACAAAAGGTCTCAAATCCAGATAGCATCACTACACCCTCCATTCAGCGAAGTTACGGAAGAAAGCGTAAAAATCAACAGGTTACGCAGGTTTTGCAGCCTTCAGCTGAAGAATTGGAAGATATTCACAGCTTAACGCCTGCCAAATTGGCCAATCTTGATTTACCTACGACGGAGTCTACGGATCTTATAACAAATCCACTGCATACTATTAATGAAAATTATCTTTCAGCTTCAGTGGAATTGCATGAAACGAACTCAATGGATTCCAGCTCTCTACAAAGACCTTCCAGTGGTAGTGAAACACCGATATCACCATTCCGCCATGACTACAAAATCAAAGATAAATTCAAGCGCACTCTTACTCTTGACAATCAGGTCAATAATGCTGTTGTTGCTAAGCAGACGGCGCCTAATAACACGTTACCGAGTGGTACTCAAAATCAAACGGGTGCCGAACCTGCTGTCAAATTGGTTATTTCCAAAAAGAAAGGTAGCATTTTTAAAAGTCGCGTGCCTTCCGAACAAACAGAACAAACAAATAGTAAACGACATCTGTATAAGCACAGATGGGATGCTACTGCTAATGGGGACACTGGCAGCGATAGCAATACTACACCAGCACAAATTCCAGATAATAAATCGGGCAGTGCCACCGTCGATGCCATTTTTAACGACTTCACAAGTGACGATACTCGTAGTAGTCCATTACTGGCGTCCAAATTAACTCGAATAATTAAACAAAATCCTCAAGTGATTCCACACGGCTCTGATATGAATGAAGCGGTAACTGCAACAGATTCAGCGCGTGGCGACCGAAAAACAAAAGATTTATACACAGTAGTTCATAATGTGAAAACAGCTCACCAAATCCAAGAAATTGGTGAATATCAGGAAATGGATGACGACGTTGAATACATTTTGGATGCCTTGCAATCACAAAATCCAATGCCCACTAGATGCCTTTCAGCATTACAATTGGCTACCAAATGCATGGTACCTGCCTTCCGGATGCACGTACGTGCCCATGGTGTCGTTTCGAAATTCTTTAAAGCTCTTTCCGATGCAAATCATGATCTAAGTCTAGGTCTCTGCACCTCTGCTATTATGTACATATTATCGCAAGAAGGTCTCAATATGGATTTAGATAGAGACTCTTTAGAACTTATGATGAACTTATTAGAATCTGAACAGAGTGCAGCCGCTCCAGCAGATCATGCTAATTATGAAAGAAATAAGCAAAAGGTGCGGGAGCTTTGTGAAGAAATCAAGGCGCAAGGAAAAGCTACTCATTTAAATGTTGAATCCATTACAGTTGGTACCCTCGCGATGGAAACGTTATTATCGCTTACTTCTAAAAGAGCCGGAGAATGGTTTAAAGAAGAATTACGCGAATTGGGCGGTTTAGAACACATTATAAAGACAATTAACGATTGTTGTAGACCAGCAGTAGACAACGATCATAGCAGCGCCGGTATCAGTTGGACGCGACCGTTATTGGATAATATGCAAACAGTGGAACGATGCCTACGTGTTCTTGAAAATGTTACGCAGATGAATGAGGAAAACCAGCGCTATATATTAACTTATGCGCAGGGTCACGCTATTAACACCCTATGTTCTTTGTACTCGCTCTGTGATCGTGAATTGACATTATATCCTACTTCAGAAACCACCTCCCGCGACAATCCCGGCATTGTTATGCGCGAACTGCTGATACCTTTGATGAAAGTCTTAATCAATCTAACGCATCCATTTAATGCTTCGAATGCCATGGGTGCTGATTTGATAGGTCAACGTAACGAAGTCATCGATACAAGTTTCCATTTGCTTTTGCAAGCACCAAACTACATTCCTGATCGTTGTGTATTTGAGTTAAGCATATTGGTTAGTTTGAAAAACAAAGATTTTACACAAAAATGAAATACCGACTTTTTTTTCAAGGCTTTGCTGTTGCTTATCAATCTCACCATGTATACATTACCAAATCGTGAGCGAATCATGCAATCCAATGCGCCCACCGAGTTTAGCCTAAATCATGATAATTCACCGAAAAGTGAAACAGCCATTTCAGCTATAATGTCGTACTTTTACAAGTGCGAAGAATTGGCGAGGTAAAGTTTCAAATTGTTGACGCATTTTTTCCTATCGCTAATAATTTCTATATTTTTAGGTTGGTGGAGAAGAATACAGATGCTTTATTGGATAATCAAGACAAAAACAAGAAGAAACAAGAGGAGGTTGATGAAACTGTTAATAATTGTGAGTTTTGAGTTTTTATTTGATTTTGGATTTGTCATTATGACTTTAATGTAGATACATACATACATACGTTCTTAAGACCAGTACGGAAATATTTGAATAGGACGTCACAAAGTTCAAGTTTTCATCACTAACAATGAACTTGAACCTCTTGCAAGAAGTGTAGCTTATTTTTTATATTCTATTGCAGTGTTGCAAAAGGCTGGCCATCATATGGAACATTCACTAAAAGGCAGTTACACAGCAATTCTAATTGGCCATTTAATAGCAGACAATGAACGCTTCGAAGATACAGTGCGAAAGCATTTGCATGGCAACGGCTTTAAAGAAATAATCAGTGTATTAGAGAAATATTATAATTTTATGGATTTAGCTGCGAGTGTAAGTTATCAATTCGAGAGTGCTCCTTCAAGCACTTTACATCAATTTGATAATTGCTCGATTGTATTTCTTTGCAGTCAGAAGCTTCGGTAGTGGCTCATATCAAATCCACCAAAAAACTTTTAGATTACTTTAAAAAACGCGACTTGATTCATGAGATGAATATTAATAATAAATCTCCCGTAAGTTTGGAGAAACATGAGAATGATAACGACTTGAATACCAACTCTAGCAGTACTCCAGCAACAGTGCAACGTGTTTACAAGACGTACAGTCAAAGATAATTAAACATATTAAATTAAATTAAAAGTAAAATATTTTAATCGTTATTTGACTTTATTACCATTATTTTTTAATTTTATCATTTTTTTTTTTTTTTTTAACATTATTTCTTAAAGCAATTTTAAAGCGCAGAGGTTGAAACGAAAAGATAAAAACATAAATTTTATGAGTTGGCTTCTTTTTAAAATTTATCCTTGGAGAACTAATAGTCGAACAAATAGCCTAAATGCTAAAACAAATATTGTAAATATTCGTTTTCATTCGAATATTAATTTTTTGTTAATTATACGAAAATCTTTCTCTCACTCAATCTTGACTTATCCCCAATAAGCGTTCATGGCAAATATCTATATTTATTTTTTAATCTTTATCAATGGTTTCAAAATTTTCTCGACAGACGGACGGAGTGAAAGTCTCGCACTGATTGTTAAGCGTGTATTTGCCTCACACAAATTCCCGTCACCCATACTTATAGAGGTTATTATCTCTCACTTGTGAGGTGGTGGGCAAAAGAAAAATACCTCTGGAACCGTGGAATTGCGAAATTGCCCGACAATTGAGTTTTACAGATAGTTTAATGGGGTATTTTTTTTTTTTTTTTTCTTTTCGTTTTAATGCAACTAATATGAATGTAATATTATATCGTTTTTAAATGATAATTTAATTTTTTCTATTGTCTTCTAATTTTAACGAGATTGTATAAAACTAAACTAAATAGAGCTGCTTTTATAAAAATGTAAAAGAGATAACACTTCCACACGTACACATAAGTTTGCATATTGCGAATCCAAAGGGAAGCTCTTTCCATGCTTTCCAAATGTATTTTTTTTCTTGTTTTATTTTATTTTTTTATTTTTTTTTTTGTTCTGGCAAGTGAATATCTTAGATTTTAAGCACAAATTAGAAATTTAATGTCATGTAATAACACGGCTTGTACATATATATACACTTCCAATTAGTATCCCCTAATTTCGGACATATAATCCTTAACTTTAATGTATGCGCTGTTTGTAAGTCCGTTTTGTAACTATCTGTATGTACGTTTAGCTAAGTATTTAATAAACTTTACACACAGATGAATAATTTCTTTTAATTTTTCTCTCATTGTTGTTAGAAATTTTAAATATTTACCATTTTATTTTAATTGATTTTTATTCACTTAATATCAGAAATTAATAATAATAAAGAACTAACTGACTGGGATCAACAACAACAAAGCGCTCTTTATAGAAGCAGATATTAAAAGAAAAAAAAAAAAAAAAAAAAAAAAAAAACAAAAGTGTATTTAAATAATTGGAGCATCAACAAACCATGTACGTACATGTGTAAAATTTTATAATTTTATGTTAAGAAATGAAATTTTCAAATACAATTCAATATAAAATTACATATGTGTTTATGTATGTGTATTAATCGATTAATAAAGATATTTATTTATTAGTGTTTTATGGAAATTTTCGAAAGTAAAATTTTGCTTTATAAGGACGGCTTTTGAATAAATCATGCAACTTTTTCCTTTTTGTTAATTGTGGAGAGGGCCGTTTCCTTCCGAATCGATATCTGGAATATAGCTGAAGTTTTCGTAAACTTTTGCAAGCTTTTTCAATTTCTTCGATATTTTCGATCAGCTTAAGCATTTTAAAGGTCTACTGTTCGAACCTTGAAAATTGAAGCAACAGATAATAGATGCACATGTCAATGTTTATTATGTATGCCTTGCTAAAATAAGCGCATTCGCTTAACTCGTTCACTAGCAAACGTCCAACCGTTTACTACTATCACAGTTCCATACGTGCAAGTAATCACTTATAAGCTATTGCTCTTCAAAAAAATAAAATACATCTTTAACGTAACATTGCGTCAAATATAAATAAGCAATCGACCTGAAGCGGCCCGAATGGGCATAAGGAAAGAATCAAATTGCTCTTTGTGCGGTTCAAAGAAATTTAAAAGAAGAAACGGCATGGCAAAATGCGTTCGCTCGACTTAATATTTCGCTCTAAATACATATATATATATATATATGCAATTTGACTTTGAATTGAAGCTTGACATGATGTGAGTGTGACACGACGACAAAGTGTGCAACGCACATGATGATCTAACACAGGCAATAAGATATTGTTGTCGACATTGTTTTGCGGTCTTTTCCATTTAAAAAGTTGTAAATATCTCGGTTCCTCCAAGAGCAAGTAAGCAAATATAACCAAACCAGTTTGAAAAATTAGACCGAGTTGGAATACACTTTGCAAAGTATTCGATAAGCAATAAATCATTCTTACGAGATGAAATTTAAACTGGATTCAAAAAAAAAAAAAAGTTTGTTTTTTGACATCTCGTAGAGTCCAGTGAATAGGATTTTAAATATTGTTGCAGCAAAAAGCCAGGTCAAAGTACACAACGGAACGCAGTTAAATTTCAGAAACTTACATGATTTGATTATATTCGAAATAAATTCTTTTTCCCTTAAATATTGATAGATTAATCATCATTAGTCATTATTGAAGCACATAATAATAATGTAATTGTAGCTTACGTTGCCGTGCCTGATAGTACTACTGCGAGAAGGCAATTTTTTAAGAAGTTTCGAATTTTGCTGCAACCTGGAACGGAGCATCTCTAGTCTAACGGTAATTGATGTGAGTATGAAATAATTGCAATCATAAAATTCTTCATACGAAAGTGTAATGAAAATATACATTTTTTGCAATATAACAAAGGCAGAGTTTATTTTTGCGAATTAATGGCGAAAGTGTATTTCGTTAAATGCGGAAAACGATGCGATCTTATTTCCTGTAATTAACAGAATAAACAACATACTTATTATCTCAATCAAACAGCATGGTACAAACCATTTAGGCTAAAAGGATGTATGTATTCCGCATAGTATAATCAAACTTGAGTCTTACTTCAAAATAATTAAGTTAGCTGGAACATAAGCAGCAAGTTGCAAGTGAAAAATATGATTCGAGACAGTTCTAACCCTAACCCCAACTTTCCCTATGTTAGTTTAAGACGAAAGACATTATTAGAATGAAAGAAAGTGCCGAGTTGGTGGGGTGCGTAACTCCGGTGTGTAGCGAGCCACTCTCGCCTCTCGAAAATCAATCTATATAGATTCGACGATTTCGAGTAAAGTGTAACAATTTAAACTTATCGCATAACAGAGAAGGATAAATCATTTTTCATCACGTATGAAATGTAGGCAAATTACGGTATTAGGGTATTTCACGGAGCCATTGAAAGTACAACGAAGAAAGCTTTCGACATATGGGCGAGATATGCTTCCTGTACACAAAAAACGGACAATCACGTCAACCGCGCCCCCCGCATATCTCATTAAATATAACACAAGGTGAAGCAGATATATGCACACCTACATACGTACAATATATATTAACTAAGAATTAATTTGATTGTTGTTGCATTGGTTATCGCGTATGCGCGGCTGTACAATAACAGTTGCAGTTTACTGTTTTTGTTAAGGGCGGCGTATGCGAATCTGTAAAGTACATAAACTTGAAACTAATTATCTTTTCTTTACTACGAGTTTGCGTTTCCCAAGGCTTGAGGTGAAAAATTCAACTCTCGACCGCGGCTGGTGGTATACGACTTGCATAGTTCAGGCGAAGTTCGTATAAATAGATAAAGTATTAATTTTCAATGGGAACTTGCTTAGATCACAAATACATTTAGGAATGAAAACTAACTCGTAGCAAGAAAACCGTCTCCACTTCGTGACAAAGCTTGAATATTATTCTCTCTTATGAGCTGCATGATACATTGGCATATTTGTAAGAGGGCCGCGTTATTCTTTGATTAAAGGTTTAAACGGTTACTATTTGTAGTAATTGTCAGACTTCCTACGGATTTCGTTTTATGTCTGCTGATTTTGTATCGTGGAGACAGACGAAGGTCAGGCAATGGAGCTGTGCTGCAAGAATTGGAGCAAACGTTGAATAAAGGGAGAACATAGATTCAGATAAGATAAGATAAGAGAAAAATATTAGATTACAAAGCAGTCAAATAAATGCAAAGGTATAAAGAAAGCAAGCTTATTATAAGGTTATTTCATCCCTTCCGTCCGTTTTCATTGCTCTGTATTTCTTACATTCAATTTTGATCAAGTCAAAAATCAATTGCTAAAAAGAAGATTGAAGGAAACATTTTTGAAAAGCAATTATTAAAAAGGTGAATTAAATATGGACGTATGGTCGTTAATTTCGTACAATGACTCGATTTGGACGAAACCAAAAGGTCTGAAACGGAAAAGACGTTTATAAAATAAAATTTATGACTGATAAGTGACTTATGAATGGCTTCAGCGACCAGACAATCGCCCCATCAGCCGCCAAACAATTTGATAGATTTATATTTATGTTTGCTATTTATTAAGATTTCGATTTTTCATCGAGTCGAAATACATTATTTGTTCAAATAGAGCCAATCAAACTACAGAAGATAACTTAATTTGTGTAAAAAGTTTTGTACCATGTAGAGATTAATGCCTCGTAAATTTCTGATGACTTTTCCTCCAAGCATATGCTTAATGTCGTTTTATACATTGTCTTGGTCGAATTTGAAATTGAATTAAATCCGTACCTACACTCGATCACACTTCATGAGAATCTTATAATTAAAGGACGGCACTACAAGTATGCAGACCAACATTTCTGTTACGATGTTGCGTATGTCTACTCCAACTCAAATATTTTAATAGAGTTTGTGGTCATTCATCATCATAACCTAAATGTTTACCCCTTCCACAGATGCGTTAATTTCAAACATTATTAACATTTAAAACGAATAATGAGAAATAAATCTCTTTTAGCATAGCTTCCTGTGATTTACATGCTCAAGGAAACAGAAACGTCAAAATATGCCAATTGAAGCAAGAAATTACATGAGACGTTTTATCACATTTTACTTCGTTACAGTTGTATTTCTACCCTTTATTAACTCAAATTCGAAAATATGCAAAATTAAGATTCTTGGCCAGCGTAAAGTTCTAAATCAATTTAGCCAAGTCTTTTCATTTAATTAAATTGAATTAGAAAGCTGAGAATTTAGGAGGTTTAGACCTCCAGGTAAATTCTGCTTGATTCAACTTTCGCAGCTTATTCGCGCGCTCACTATTGTTGCCGCTTCCTTCGAAACTAATTCATGACGTCAAGACACCGTTTTAAGTATTAGGAAATTTTTTGCTCAAGAACTCCAAAATACTTTACAGTAACTTGTTACGCATCCAGCGCACAAACACTTTCAAAACAATTCTTTTGGTTAACCTATTTAATTTCACAGATATCATTGATTACCATTTAAACGTCAAATTGCGTTAAGTTCTTCGAGTGAATAAGAGATTATTAGTTCATTTCTAAGCCCGCTTCCCATTAACTTCACAACATTCTCCGGATTACGACGGTTTTACATCTTTACACATATACAGGCTTGTGATTGTTGAAATTTGCGCGGTGGAAGCTATGTGCTCTACTAACTGATTCTTTGCAATTCAATGAGAAAGTAAATGCTTCAATACATGAAATCTTCACAATTCTAAGCAATATGCGCCAGCTTGAGAGTTATCGTAAACGATGTTACTGAAGTTGCACGAACGTGGCTTACCGAAGATTTGCTTAATCATGAATTTCGTACCAGTTATTTATTCCACCATATCGCCATAACACCGCTAGGGCATGCAATTCTTTCTTGTGTCAGCATTTCATAATTGACAAAATGTTTGTCGTCGTCTAAACAATTACTGATTGCTTTTAGAGAGAAAGAAGAATTCGAAGACTTATTATTTTTTATATAATTTACCAACCAATCTCCTTGTATACAATTGACACTTAGTCCAATGAGAAAAAGAAATATCTCCTTTTTGCCTTAAAATTTCTATTCTCGATTATGGTTTTACATGGAAAATATCTTCTATATTCCAGCACACGTTACAATCATTACCTTTTAAGAAATATGATAGAGTTGATGTAGACTTCTATTTGTAATCGATAACAACTTATGGCTAGTTACCGCAAAAATATCATGAAGAAATTGAAAAGATCAAATTAGCATAAAATAAACGGACTTGGCGTTCTTATGAACATTTTATTAACGAAGAAATCGTCTTTCTTATCTTATTCTCTTTACATTAAGCGGTGATATTTAATTTAAAAGAGTTATTTTGTATATCATTAAATTGAGATTCGCTAGGTTTGTACATATGGTACCTCTCTATAGTCGATAAACTCAATTTATTTTGGAGATATCCTATATGTGGATATACCTATAATATGTTAGATTAGAAAACACACAGACTACTATGTACCTTATTAAATGTTATTGAATAAATCCTGAATGTTGATTGTAGTACAACAGCGATAATAAGAAAAAATTCTGAAGTTGCGAATGCGTTTTTGCTTGTAGTTTACGATCTGTATAGCATCAATCTGATATAAAATTTGCTTATTCATTTATCAGAACCGCATGAAAATTTAGAATGTATGAAAAAAGTTTCTTACATAACTTGATGGGCCACACGGCCATAAAAACACTTAATAATGCTATTCATGCTACCACGAAATTGCACTCAACTTGTAAAAAATGGAAATTTGTTCTTATATTTTACCTGTCTGACTTCTATTTACATATTAGTAGACATATCATGTTGAGCCTTTGTATGCCTTCACGTCATTCCAGGGTTTTTCTTTATAGATGTAGTAGTTCTTTTAAATCTGAAATATCCCACCCCATGTGCCTAAGAAAATTTTAGGGTTTACGCTCTTCCTTTTTCTTTCTTATATAACTAATTACTCAGGCAATGTCTACAATAGCTATATAACACGATGGTGTTTCGGAAAAAATGGAGACAGAGGGATAGGACTGGGAGGTGCGTGCCCGATCAGTAAATGTTATGCCTTGACAGAGCGGACACTCACACTTCAACTTAAAAAAGTCTGCGTTGAGATTGCTCGTGTTTGATATTTTTGGTGAGATACTTTTTAAGCAATGCGCGGCCACTACTCGGCTTTCTAGACGTTCAAAACTTCTCTTCATTATCTTTTACATTAGCTGCAAAATCTATAACCGATTTCATCATATTTTACAGCAAACTGCACGCGTCATAAATAATATCACATTCTATTTAGTTAATAATTTCAATAACACTTTGAAACACTTTCATTATCTGTAATCCTTAAAGAATATCATTATATGGTAACAAAATGCTTCGAAAAACTCCAGATGGTAATAACATTGCGCATCTGGCAACATAGCCAAGCAAAAAAGAGAGAAAATAAAAACCATAACAACAAAAAATTTAATCTTTTTTTTCAACTTAGTAAATCATCTGTTGTTGATTTTCTGTCTCGCAGAAGAAGAAGAAGATCAGCTGCAACTCGGACATGTTTCTCTTTAATTTAGTCGCAATCTAAACAGGACATATAAGTTTAAAATAATAAATTAAAAATCTTTTTTCAAATAACGCCAAACAAATAAACATGGCTGGGAATCAATCACAGGCATCGAGCATTGATGCTTTAGATAAGGAACAAATGAAAACGGTAATTAATGCTTATCAAACTAATAACTCTAACTGAATTTTACAATTAATGTTCCTATTTCATAACAAAATAAAGCTCTCCGATTTTCTCACTTCGTATAATAAGCTTTCGGAAATGTGTTTTACTGATTGTGTTAGAGATTTCACCTCTAGAACTCTTAGAGAAACTGAGGTTAGTACGGTTAAAAAGCCATAAATACAACAGCGCGGTAATGTATGGTGTAAAACAACATTGTTTAATTTATAATTTTAGGAAAAATGTTCTTTAAACTGCATGGAGAAATATTTAAAAATGAATCAACGCATATCTCAACGGTTTCAAGAATTTCAATTGATTTCAAATGAAAATGCTTTGGCAATGGCACAAAAAACTAGTAAATCCTAGAACTAGTGGGTATCAGCAACTGGATTTTGAACTAATATTCTTAAAGTTTTTCGATAAACGCGATTAGTAATATTTATCACTAAATACCGTTAACGTTAGTGTTGAAAATATGCATTTTAATTTTAGAATTTAATTGCAGATCTGTCTCCTTTTTTATTAAAAATAAAAATGAATTAAAACTAAATAAAATGAATTTCAAGTTATTATATTTCAATTTAAATTTCTCTTTTAGAAAAATTTTCATGTTTACGTTATTTAAAATATATAGTATATTAAATCGTATTCTACACATTGCCTTCTCTCAATGGTTTAAATAGACAATGATGTCAGTTAGGAGCGTACGATAAGCTAGAATGTTTCACATTTAAAATTTCCTTGATTTTGTACACAACATCTAACCTATAACAAAAGTTTACCTTACGCCCAGAAGCAAGTGTATAAATTCCTATTTTTAAATTATTAAGAGATTAACATGAATGAAATTAATATGAAGGATGGTTTTTTAATTATGATTGATCAATTGACTGAAATAATTTAATGACTCGAGCTTCCACTTTCATTGGGATAACCTTCGGCTTCATTTATCAGAGCATATTCCAAAATAACACGGCCTTCTTTATATCTAAAGTTTAAATATAAAATAAAGAATTTAAGTTCATAGTAAAATAACATTCTGTTTTTCTAGTATACATGTTTTTAACGATATGTATTAATTTCAAGCATAAATGCTGTAAATTTTAGTACACGCCACCAAAGGACGGTTATTTTCGTAATTTATAAAAACTATATGTCGTGGGACACGGAAATTCTATAAGAAAATTTATCTTTACAATATTATGAGTATATTATTTTGTGGAACGCAAGTTTTATTAGAAAAATAGAGGTATTTTTAAGTTTCTAGAATTATGTTAGGGCGCTGACGGTATAGTGTAAAATTTTTCGCTTGTTCCTAACAAAAATATATAATTATATATAAACGCTATGATAAGTATCATTTTTAGTATAATATAATAATTATATATCAACAAGAAATGTAGCCGCACCTTCTACACCCAATATAGCTCAGAAAAATAATTACAGAAGTAGTAAATTTTTCGATAATGACTCGGTGATTCTTCGTTTCAACTTTCCAACTTTTTTTTGACGTCGCCATCGACAGACGTTACAATAGTTTGTCTTGAGGCCACAAGCACGTATTATTTTTAAATTAATTTTTTTTATACGGCTACTGTAATGGACATAATCTTTGTCCTACTCTACGTAATCCTAATAGGAATCCTCTTCAAGGATCCTAAATTATTTATACTTGGGTTTATGTTCATAGCAATTTGTGTTAAATGAAGCTTTAAAAACCATCTGCTAAACTAAAAATAAGTATTGGAATGCCGAAGGAGCCATTAATTAAAAGTCAGGCATTTATTTATATCGCGGTTGTTTTTAAGCACCCTCCCTTTATTACCATTGATGTCGTTCAACTCAAATACTGTTATCTTAACTGACGATTCTTCGACAAACCTCAATAAGCCAGTCGGCGTAATAGTCACTAGGTCATCAGTTATACGATTTCTATATTTACTCACTTTTGTGCTTCTTCTGTGGCATATTCATACATCCAACCCAGTTTAACGTTGCAATTTTTACACATTACATCACGCACCATATGACGTCCCGTCAGCATGACACGTTCTTGTATATTACTGAATGTTAAGTTTACAACACGCTTGAAGAGATAAGCTCGACCTAAAAGACAACAAGTAAATCACACAGTCCATCAAGTAATGATGGTATGTTCCTCTTACCCGTCGCCCCTGTGAAACGAGTGCTCAGTAACTGATTACGATTGGTTAAATTAACTTGACATTGTGCACAATTGATTAAACGAACACCACCCAAGTGTTCCAAGAACACGCGACCCATGTTAAAAAAAATAAATAAATAAAACGAAAAATATTTTATCCAATAGAGCTTTGAATCAAGATTTAAATCCACAAACAGGTTGTGCTGGCTAGCTTGACAGAATTTGTCCGTTTATTCTACGTCTCCCCTATTTGCTGGATTTATTTAGTTTTCTATTTGCTTTATTTATTTTGGCTTATCTATTCCACAAGAAGATCCATTCGATAACAAAGCAATACTTAAAAAAAGATTATTTTTTCTTAGTTTTTTCGCAGCGTTGCCAGAAGTAAAAGGACTTTAATAGAAAATTTAAAACAAAACTTAGAATCCTATGTGCAACTAAATGTGCCTGCTTCAAAATGCTTGCACATAAATAAATTGAAGAAAATATGTACGTATTAGTGAAAGTTACTATATAAAAAAAATGGACGTTCTGCCAATCAATATTTTCTTATAAACTTGTCAAAATATTTGGTTTTGCGGATTTTTCTAAGAGAAGACTTTATTCACTTATGATGTTCGAATCATATACAGGGTATTTGGTATATAAAAGCAAATAGGAAAGTCACAATATCGCGGTGTCTAACAATGAGCATGTTTTGCTACTTTAATAAAAAAAAAGGCAAAGATATATAGTTAACATTTTCTTCTAGAAGTGATACGGTGATAATGGTTCAAAAAACGAAGATGTTAAACGTGGGGAGGGTCGTTATGTATCCAGTAAGCAACTTGCATTTTTGACGACAGCAAAAATCGGGGATTAATTTTGCATGAAAAATTTAATTTTCGTTTCTCAGCTGGTTCCGATTTACCTCCGGAATAGCATTCACTGTCGATCGATGAATCGCTTCTTGCGCGACAATTGTTAAATATTTTCTCTCTATTGAAGAATATGAAACGTAAGTAAATTAGCTAAGGTTTTCAACAAATTTGTATCAAATTTCATGTTTATAATAAGAGTTACAACAAGAAATTTTTATAGTTAAATTTATAAGAAAAAAACAACTGCACAACACAGCAGAAAGTTTAAGTTTGCGAAAGATAAGTGAAATATTGCTAAGTAATGTTAATAGATAATGCAGCAACGTTAACCAACGTGTAAATGTTATTTGATAGCAGCAGTTCATTACTCGCCGGTGCTTTGTCTGCAGACGACTTGGAGATTTTTTTGTAATTTTTCTTAAAAACTCGATTGCTTATGGTTGCATAGAATTAGCTTCGAGTGGTAGCTTTAAGAGTATTTTACTTAAAAGAAAAGAATATGAAAAAATCAACTATTTTGTGGGCGAAAGTTACTTAAAAGGTGTTCGATTTTATTTGCTATATTTACGACTTTCGTCGTCGATCTATACATCATTCACTCTGCACCAATAAAACAGAAACAAGAAATTAACTTTTTACGTTAAATTTTAAATAAAATTATGCTAAATTTGTGTATGCATAATAAGCCAAATAAGAGCTTGCAGAGTTTTCCATTCATCGACGCCATTTAATAAAGACGAATTATGCAGCTGGGGATCAACAAAGATTCCATAAAATTGTATGTAGTCAAGTTTGGATAATTTTAATTATAAGCAAATAATATTTTTCTTCCGCTTACCAAATGCCGCCATAAAATAAAAGGCGTTAACCAAAATTTCTTGGAAATGCTGATAACACAATTAAATAATAAAGTAAAGGTACAGGATATGATATGGTATTCGCATCGATGTATTGACGCCCTAATAAAGTTTACCGTCCACTACTTTTGTCACATTATCACATCTGATACCACAATTGAATACATTATATCCGATATAAAACTGGAAAAACTGTACTAACCTTATAGAGTTGTCAGTATCGAGCAGTCATTAGTAGCTTCCAGACTACCAAAATCATGATTAAGTGGATCACTGGCGATGGATATTGATTTCTAAGCAACCGCCCATACAAATTATTCATAAGATATAAATGGAAGCCATTTTTGGAGCCCGCAACTTTTAAAGAAATCATTTCGTAGAACTTTTTTCGAAAAAAAAAACGACAGCCGTTGAGCGGCAGGGAATGCTAGAAAAGAAAAACGTTAGTCATTTTAGCACTACATGACGACTCTCTTAAGAATTATTGCGAAACTATAGCGGTTACAAACCGTAGAAGACAGATTGTTGTAGCATCGATTTGAAACCACGTGTTTATAGCTAAGCATGTAAATATTTTTTGTTAAAAAAAAAGAAAAAAAAAACTGAAAACATTTTAGGTGAAATGCTTTGGAGAGTTGCCTTAAGGCGAATTTTTTCTTACTTCACCTTTTCGAATGTATGGAAGACGTAATTTATCAAGTGAGCATATCGGAATCGTTTGTCCCCTAACTAATCCTACCTTACACTTCAAATGAAGTGTACTTTACACGTTGTTGATTAATGCGATTAGATATAGATTTCAAAAGGAAATATTTTTGCACACAATAAAAATGCAATAGCTTTTATAAAGCAGTACAATTTCAATATCAATACTACAGAGGAACACTTCTCGTGGTAGTATCTGTAATAATGGCGACTAAAGTAAGTCAATTTGATTACCAAAAATATTTTTCTTTTAAATAATAGGAAATTTACCAAATTTGTTTCCAGCACTACCTAGTTTTTCTGCTATTAGACTATATCTTCACTATCGGGCAGGTAAATACTTCCACGTATCCAATTTCCACTCCATTTCCAATCCATTCATTTCAAAACTAATGAAACACCCCACCAAATGTAGTCTTTACATCCACCACATGCATGTCGTTGTTTCTATAGTAGCAGATAGAAATATGTGTGCGGGAGCCTATGACGAACCGTGACGTTCAAGTTTTTAGTTATAATATTTGTTTGTGGTTGGGCTTAATCGACTTTGAAATGTTTTCTCTACAAACCAACCATACCATACCAACCGACGTGTTTGCTCTAATTTTCGATTTTCATTTTCCCGACCTTAATGAAATTAACTAGTGAATAAGACTTCATAAGTCTTAATTCATAGAATTTTATGCTGCAGAGTTTCATTGACGAAATCATCGTGAACAAATCATGTGATCACTTTTTCATGAATAGTAGGCTTTGTTTTTTGTAATTTGCATGATGCTAATGTAAGCTTCAAATTTAACTCAGACTATTCAAATAGTGCCAACTGTTTTGGTTCATGGTGGAGCTGGGAAAATTGCCGAGGATGCTATACCGGCTAAATTAGGTGGGGTCAAAATGGCAGCCCATATTGGCTATGAAACATTGCTATCTACTGGGGATGTAGTTTCAGCCGTGGAGGAGGCTGTCCGTTCGATGGAAGCAAATGGCGCCTTCAATGCTGGCTATGGCAGTGTTCTTAATTGGGAAGGGAATATACAAATGGACGCCGCGATTATGAATGGATCCGATTTGAATGCCGGTTGCGTTTCCTTGATAACCGACATATTACATCCAATTTCTCTAGCTCGTTGTGTTATGGAAAAGACTCGTCATACATATTTAGCAGGATATGATGCCATGATTTTTGCTGCAGAAAGTAATTTTACCTTATTACCAGAAGGCGCATTGATAACGAATGAATCTAAACAAGCTTTAGAAGATTACAAAAACAGCATAAATGGAGGAATAACCGAGTTTGATGGAATTTCAATTGAAAATGAATTAACGGAAACTTTCGGCTCGCCGGGAACAGTTGGGGCTGTAGCAATTGATGCAAATGGCAATGTAGCTGCGGCAACGTCGACGGGTGGTCTTACAGGGAAAATGCCTGGTCGCATTGGTGATTCACCTATACTGGGAGGTGGTACGTATGCTGATAACGCTGCTGGTAGTGTCTCAGCCACCGGACATGGCGAATCTATTATGCGTTTTAATGTGGCTTCTCGGATATTGGCTTTAGTAAAATACAAAGGACTAACGGCTCCAGAGGCTACTTCAAAAGTATTAGACGAAATGAGAGAACGTTTCAATCAAACAGCCGGTGTTATCAGCATAGATCATCAAGGTAATTTGGGCATTTACTTTACCTCGCAACATATGCCGTGGGCTTATCAATCAAACAATGGATTGCATTACGGTGTCACTAAGAATATCATCACAATGGAAGAAATTGAAGTCAATTAATGTAAACTCTTCATACATATGTTTACTAAAGATTAAGATTTGAAGATTTCTTTTTTCTTTTTTTTCCTTCTGCCTTTTGTGAAGTGCAACATATATCAGAAATCATGGTCAATTTCCAAAATGCGGTCCAACACTTCATTATAATAAGCATTCTTCTTAATATAATATATTATATCAAGACAACTTTTTCATGAAGTGAAGTAAATAGAATGATTTTATGTACTTATGGTCGAACAAGATACTATGAGGTCTTCATTGGAAAATCTAGAAGATATTATTGCCATAGTAGTTGCCCTTCCTTCGACTTTTGAAACATTAAGTTGAAGTCGCTATGCTTTTCAAATTTCGATCGTTTTGTATGAAGGACACATCTGCCATTTTTCTCACGGTTTGGCTCGCTTATTTTCGATTAATTGATGACTGCCATGTCTGCATTGCTTTACTGCTTGAGATTATTGGTTTTTTTTTTTTATTATTATTATTATTATTAATTTTGCCAGAGAAATACTAAGGCTAGACCTTTGAAGCACTAGCATCTATCGGCTATCGAGTTTTTTTATTAAAAACTTTACCACTCTTGAGCTTCGAACCCACGACCATTGAGTTACTAATCGAGATTCCTCGCCTTCGGCCATTCAGACAGATTATTTTATTTCTTTTTTATTTTTTAAAATTTTTATTTATTTATTTATTTATTTTTTTTTTGTTATAATTTGTATCGATTTTCGTAATATATGTGCGCAAAATGTTGTATAAATCAGAAGCAAATCGGGGGAAAACTGTTCGTTGGAATCGGATCCAATCGTTTATATGAATCCCCAGATGATATTAAAAGGACAAAGAGCTTTACGAATTTCTAACAATAAAGTGATTTATTAAAATTGAAATGATCACTTCATAATCGGAGTAAGAAAGCAGGACTTTTCCAGAGAATTCGTATCAAGAACACTTACTTACAATAAAATTAATCACATCTTCGTATTTTCGATTTGTATTCTAATAATTTGTGTTTATTATTCTGAATTTATACAAATAAGTTTTCGTACTTCTACGAATAATTGCTTATGTGACCGATTTAGGTAGAGATTTGGGGATGTTCGTTATGACGTGAATGGCACGCGGAATGTCTAAACCTCACGGGCATCAAGCATACATTGCCATGCCGTTTAATTTTGTCCGCAGTTACATGAAATGAAAAGCCGAATGCTATAAGTGGTCCGTTTCCACGCCCTTTGCGATGGACTGTTTTATACATGATTGTTGGAGTAACTAAAACTACAATGTTATTACATGCAGGTTCAATTCGAACTACTTTTTTTTTCGGAGGGGACGGAGAAACATGTGTGCTATTGACACTGCGTGTATGTATGAGCAAATCGACAATTAATGTAGGCGCTAGATACAAGAGCATCTACATAACTACGTATAAGCCTTGAAAAATACTCACGATCGATTGTTATTAAAGAGCATATGTGATGTGATGATTAGCGTTATTAATGATAAGCAATGGCAGCTGTAAGCATTGATGTACGATGGGAATGGATCCATTATTATTTATTATTTGTATTAAAAGTGGCCTAATTGCCTTATATCCATTACGAACACATTCGGTCCCTTATGTGTATTTCTCAGTGTTACAAACGAGAGGACAAATCGAGTATACAATCGTTCTTTGACAGTAGAAATAGGGTTTCAGAAATGAAGATTCCTTATAGCAGAGGAGATGCGGGAACTGACACTATAAGGCTTTATTCTTGTTTTGGGGTTCGGACTTTAACCTTGCTTTACGGGAATTTCGAATGCACACATGCAAATAAAACAAAAACAAAAGAGCATACGAAAAAAGGGTCAGGATATTAAGGTTATTTGCCTCATTTACGTTCATCTCACACAAATGTACATTTTTTTTTCGATTCATTTATTTGATCTGACATGCAGGCAAGCAATAACGGACATTTATTTTAAAGTTGAAATTGTTGCATTAGTAGTGAACTACGATATCAATTATTTAGAATTTTCGCAATTCACCGAAACTCGCTCACATACATTCGCTTTATGTAACATTTTGAAAGTCCGTTAAGTACATCAAGCAAAAGCCCGCACCAACCAAGCCAATGATAAGATTACTTACGGTTCTCTTAGTACATTAATTGCACAGTACTATCTCGAGTTTTGAAATTAATTAGAGAGTAAATGCGGATTATGTGAAGCTTACTTTCTTCTACCAAGCTTACTATGTACGCAGGCCTGGAAAGCTTATGCTTTTTATCTCGTTTAGCCTTCAAATTATAAACTGACTCTGGTAATAAACATTTAGTCATTATTATCTAATAAATCGAATTTGTGTTTTCAGAGAACACTTTTGGGTAGCTGGAACCACTTCGAAGAAGTAATAAAAAATGTCGCATTAAAAAAGAAATCGCAACTAATCCAAAATAAAGAAGTGAACGGTTTTCTTCGTAGTAATATTTAATTATGCTAAGCGAACGCATTTTACAATTACATCAAAGCAAAGATTTACGAAATTCTTCTTGTCCTTCTTCTTCTTTTTTTGCGCGTCAGCATTTTAACAAGAAACTAATTACTCAGCTGAGCACGAAGTTCTTTGTTTGAAACTTAATAAAGTTGACTTGTAGTTGGACTGCAGATTTATACTTATGCATATGTTTGCGTACTATAACCATTTGGCGGGTAATCGTCTTTCCCAACTCTTCTTTAATTTATTTTCACGACTTTGGACGTTAATATGTTCTGGAGTGTTACTTATTTTCCCAAATGATTTCGCGATGATATAGTGCACAGTGCATTTCGTAGTGTGTCAAATGTGATGGAACGCGTGTATGTGTATGTAGGCGTCTTTCAAAAAGAATAAAATCTATTCAATCAATTAATTCCATCAACAATAGTACTTTGCTTACATTTAAAAGTGAAACTATTCTTGAGATTAGCAATGAAATTTTTAATCGGTAATGTGGTGGGCCTTCCGATAACGTCTCAAGATTGCTCAACACTTTGCTAGCCCTTTTCAAGTTGCAGTCAACTTTAAGTACAGCTGCCACTGAAATTTCTTCTCAAAATAATCGAATAAAATGCAATCGTTATATATGTAATAACGAAAATCGAACCGATTTTTTAGGTAATTCTTTCACCAAGACTGGCTATATTATTAACTAGGAGGGGTATAAAGGTGTTTAGTTACTTGAGTACAAATTTTAATTCTTATCTATTGCTTAGAACGACAGCTACAATAATTGGACCTGGATTTGGTTTTGCGGGCTTGTTAATTTTTATATTTAACCTAAGGCCTACGGTTTGGTTAAAATCTGACTTAATTGTAGGGGGGAGTAAATGTTAACTCAAGCATGGGGTTACTCCTTTAGCAATGGATTTTAAACTATTTTGGTCCTTAGTTTCTCTTTCGAAAGTGCGGTTGATTGTGCCAAAGTTTTATCCAATCTTGTTAATTCTCTATTTATTGTTGTCATTATGGGAAGACATACCTCATAGTCTCATAGAGATGGATTTTGTCTCTTTCAGATGATCCTCTCCCTATCACTTAAATACTTCTTCTGGTTTCCGTTATGCATTTTAATATATTTGCCAGCAAGTGATCGTCTATTGAGTAATACATCGTCGGCCTTGGTTACTAATTTGTTTTTAAGATTCGTGCATTGCATTTTTCCAGTTCGTAATTTATGTCGTTTTGTGTGTTATAAAGTGACAGGCTCTTACCGATTATCCTTCTAAGTGCGTTTTTCCAGCGTGTCTAATAGGTTTGTTGATTTCACAGCAAATGACTAAAATCTGTTATGCCGCAATGTGTGGACTAAATTGTACAGACACGTTGCCGATAGGTGGACGGCACTATATAGTCGAGTGCTGGTAAGTTAAAACAAAATGAAGCGTTACTTATGAACAACAAATGCAACTGGTTAAGTATTGTATTTTTTGAACTTTGTATCGGATCATTGAACTGAAATCTAGTTTTCCTAGTCCTATGAGATATTTCCTATGAGGTCTTTGATAATTGCTTTAGAGCTTTACAAGCCGACCTTAAAAGCCGCTTCGGAAAATCTTACCGACATTGTTTGTTTATCGTACTTTTGCAACTCGAATGCCTTGGCTTCTCTGATCGATTAGGTAGAACTGAAGCCTTTAAACGAGACTATAATGAAGAAAAATATCTTTTTAAAATTTTGCATTATTCAAAGCAGTTAATTCTGTGTCGATTGTAATATTCTCCAAACGTTACTGTCATTAACTGGCAATTTTTGTCTATTCCCGCTTTATTGGATTCTTGATTCGGTCTTTCCCAGGCAGCGATTGGGCTTAGGTTTTATAAGTGGTGGAAAAACTACTTCACTGCAGTCGATATTCGTACCATTTACACGGCCTATATTATTCCAAAATTAGAGTATAACTCGCATATGTGGACGTGAGCCTCCAAAGTTTGTTAGAAGTTCCTCGACTGCGTGCAGGGAAAGGCTCAGGTGCTCATGGGCGACGCAAGTGTGTCCAGAGCTCTCGATACTCTTGAGCATCGGCGCAACGTGGGTTGTGTTGCGCTTATGTACATGAATACTCAGGATAAGTGTTCTACAGAGATGAAAGAAATATGTCCACCAATTAAATCCTTCAATCCTTCAATACATGTTTTTCTCAGCGTTCTCGTCCCCTCGTCCTGGGGTTCTCTATATTTCCCGCACAACGCACTGTTGCGACTCGTCGTTTTTTAAACACGCTGTCGTTGTTTAGAACAACCTGGCAACAGTGGTCTTTCTTTTCGTACCTGATATCTCCATTTTTAAGTCGAATGTTCCCAAGCATTACTCCCTATCCTCAACCCACACTTCCTATCACCCTTCCCCATCACCATCACGCCCGCACGTATCGGGGACAACCTCCGAGTGGCTGGTCATGCAAAAAAAAAAAATGCTTTTTACAGACATTGTTAAATATTCGAAGGAGAACCGTTATACACATGACAAAATCAAAAATTGACCCGTCTAAAAAGTTTGCTCTTAATCTCCTGTTCTAGGACCGCAAGCCTTGTCATTCATATGTTCAATTATTCTTTCTAATTCTATTTAGTCGACGATGTTATGCTAGAGCGGGCCGCCTTTCCATCATTAAATCGTTAAACACTAATAGAAATTTGTTGCTGCTTCTAAACTCACGTCAGT